AGGAGCGAGCTAAGTTGTTGGAATGGGAGAAGCACTTGTCCTTCTTGGACACATCTTTGTTCAATGATGCGCAAAAGGAGTATGTCAATCTTGCCCGTGAAGAAGTTTTGATCCAAAAAGAGCCATGATTTGCACAATGGGTGGCCATGGCCTTGGCGTCATGGGTGTCGGTGGCCTTGGCGGCATGGGTGGCATTGGTGTCATCGGTGGCTTTGGAGCTACCATGGGCGACATGGGTTCCATGGGTGACTTTGGAGCTACCATGGAGACCATGGGAGGCATGGGTGGCTTTGGAGCACCTCCGGGCGGCTTGGACGGCATTGGTGGCATGGATGGCATGAGTTTTGCGTCTCTCATTGGGAGCATGGTGCACCTCCGGGCGCCGGTGTGCCACCTTCGCATGAAGATGCCATTGAAAATCTTGGCAACACCTTCCGAGTTTCACGTGATGAGGATACGACGCGCAACAATGAAGAGGAGAAGGAAGAATCGTCTTCGGAGGAGTCAGATGAATCGGAGAAAGATGATGATGAAGACAAAGACGAGGACGAGGCTTGATTCTTGTGCCTTTGGTTTGCATTTTAAACTTGGTTGAATTATGTTGTGGGCATGAATTTAAAGTTGCAGGCATGAAGTTGTGGGCATGAACTTGTGGGCACAAATTTAGTTGGAATGATGTTTGTGATTCAATATATGCCATGTGTTTTGTGTTAGAAGTGTGAAATTTGTGCCCAAAATGAGAACAAATGTGTTCGCCGGCTCCTCTCGCGCGCTGCATTTTAGCGCTATTGCTGGAGCAAGCGTTGCGTGACGCGTCAAATCTGACGACGGGCGCGCCGCAAACCAAATTTTAGCGTGCCGCGTGTTGGCCTCCTGTTGGAGATGCTCTAATAGTCCGGCGTGTTTTACGTACTTATAACAAATAAAAAAAGTCAGCCTAAATGCGAGGGAAATTTCCCCGCCAAAAAAGAACGAGAGGATTTTCGTAAAAAAGAACGAGAGGAAAATGAACTGGAGATTTTTTTTCGAGGGTACGCAAATTGCGTACCTTATCTTTATAGAAGGAGAGAAATACAACCATACAACCACATCTATCTCTCGCTGCGAACAACGAGCGTAGCACAACTCCACACCCGACACAAACAAAGAAAACCACACACGACTACAAACTATGACATACAAGAGCCTACCCAAAACCGAAATCATCGCCGCGTCTCGACCGACGCCACAGATCATCGAAGAACAGCAAATCTAGCTTCCTTGGTAGAACCAGCGACGACTGTACATAGCGCCAAAGAAGAATGATCCGGGCAGCGGTGCACGCCAGAGGAGCGCAATATAGGGCCTCTTATCTCCAAGCACAAAGCTCCCAACAGAGAAACATCGTCGGAAAGACATCTCCATCGTGCCGATCCTACGAATCAAGGCTTTCGCCCCCGGAGATGGTTGCCGATACAAGGCAACGTGGACAATGACGCTACCCTCGGCGACACCTCCAGGAATGGGAATGACACCCACGGGTGCCATCGACGCCGGTCCGACCAAGGCCGAACAAAATTTCCATCCGTAGCATTGCACATTTCCACGCCACCAAGCTTTCGGCCAGCCCCGAAAGATGCCTCTCACCGCCAACACCGCAGCCACTTGCAGTCGGAGCCACACATCACTGCCGAGGAAGCACGCCTCAAGCCACCACCTTCAGCACACCAGGAACTGCAACAACCACCAATTGATGCGGGGATCAGATCCGTCGCGATGGCCTTCACCCGCACCTAGGGGCTGCCACACAGATGGACCTGACCCGCACCATCAGCCACACTTCGACGCCAACTTCACCGAGGCATCACCGCCGCCGCCTCACACGTAGGTGGTCGGGCGCCCGCTGCTCGCCAGGCCCTGCCTAGCCGAGCCTCGCAGCGCCGCCACCTCCATGGCTGCGCATGCGCTGCCGCCTCCGACGAAGTCAGCACACCACCCACATCCACTCACCTGTTGCAACCCTCGTGCAGATCCAGGGGACCGCCGTCGAGCACCCCGTAGTGAAACAGTCTCCCGCAGCACCCCGACCGGGAGCCATCCAACGCGCCAGATCATGCCCGAGAGCCACGGATCCGCGCATGGGAGGGCTGCCTGCCAGCCGACCCGACGCCAACCAGGGGCGCCACCACGGCGCCACAGGCCGGACGAGGCCACACCGCGCCGCCCGGAGCAAGGCACCGCCGACCCAGACGCCGCCAGCTCGCCCCGCGCCACCCGGAGCAAGGCCGTGCCACTCCGCTGAGACGAGAGCCACGGGCGCGTCGTGCCTCGCCAGAGCCACCCCCGCCCGCCGCCGACATGCGAACCACGCTGGCGAGAGGACCTCCGCGCCAGATCTGGCGTCCCGCGCCGCCAGGAGCGTGGAGAGGAGGGGAGAAACCCCGCCGCCGCCGACCCGTCCGGGCTTTGCCCGACGTCGTCCCTTGGCGGCGGCGAGGGAGAGGGGAGGCGGGGCGGGAGGACTGGCGGCGGCACGATTTAGGGTTCCTCCCGGGCCGCTTGCGGGAGCGGCACGGGGGAGATTTTTTTTTTAGGGGTAAATGAACTGGAGATGATAATTCCTGGCTGGCGTCCGCGAGGTTAGGGGGCCCTCAGCCTGGCAGGGCCCGCCCCGTCGGTAGGAGCGGTTGGGTAGGCCCAACGAAGCGGCAGACGAGAGCGAAACCAAGGTTGGCCGCGGGTGAGAGCGGCGTGGTGGGGCCCACGGGACCCCCGTTGCGGTGCGGGGATCTCCGGCGTCCGGTTCGCAGAGATTCACAGGATTCCGAGAGCCCGGCTCCGGTGCCCCAGCAGGCCGATGACAGGTGGGGTCCGGCCTAGGCAACTGGCCGGCGCTGCACATCGTACTATACTACAGTTTCCCGTTTGCCTATGTCCTTATCCAGAGCTCTCAAAAGAGAGGGCTCTGGGCGGCCGTCGAGAAAAGCCCGTAAATTGGAGTAGAATTTCTCTAATATGTGAAAAGGAAGGAAAAAAAAATACAAGTTCGGTCACCAAGCGGCGGATGGGCACTCGTCGCCGACCGCCCCACCGCGTCGACCAGCGCCGTCTCACAGTCACCGGGTTACCGGGTCACGCCCATTCCGGCGCCGCCATGAACCGCCGGGCCAGTACCACGACCGCCAGTACAGTACTGCTGTCTGTCTAACGCAAGTACGTACAGTACCTTCCACCGGATCGCATCGGCCGCCCACTTCACTCCACTTCACTTTACAGCGGCAGGTTACCGGGCGCGCGCCGTGTATTTCCACCGGGTGCAGGCAGCTCAGCATTTCGCCAGTTTTCTACTCGAGCCCGTACCCGACATCAGGCCATCAACCCACGGCCTTTCCCTTTTCCACTCCGTATACCACACCACAGCACACCCGCCTTTAAAGCGCCCGCGACTTTAATGCGCTGTAGCAGTACAAAGAACACAACTTAAATTCCCAAAGCCTACCTAGAGAAATCTCCCTCGCTCAGAGGAAGTGGACGCAATTCTCGTGACCGCATCGCAAAAACTCCCGCCGCTTCTTTACTCCCGCCCAATTTAATGGCATGAAACCAAACCTCGGCTGAGGCTGGTCATAGTGGAGAGTAACTTAGACTAGTACTACCTCCGTTCCGGTGTATAAGTCATTCGCGTAGTTCTAGGTCGATAATTTAACTATCTAAATATGTATTATATGTGACAAAAAATATATATTTAGAAACTACATCCGCGTGGAAATCTAGTGATATACTTTTCATGACATATAACACATATTTAATTCCTCAAATCGATGACCTAGAACTACGCGAATGACTTATACACCCGGACGGAGGGAGTAATATACATATGTTACTAGTCTATGTTACTATCTTCATAGTGGGTAGTGTCATAGGTGTGGTAACATAGTTGCCTTCATTTATTACTTTGTAGAGTGGGAGTAATATAGATAGTAACATAGATGCCACATAAGCAAAATTGGTGATGTGGCAAGTAGTTAATGAGGAGAGAGGCAAATAGAGTAACATAATATGTTACCATCACATAGCGGTTTCCAATGCATAATGAATCTACAAAGTAATAAATGAAGGTAACTATGTTACCACACCTATGACACTATCCAATATGAAGGTAGTAACATAGACTAGTAACATATGTATGTTACTAGTCTAAGTTACTCCCCACTATGACCAGCCTGAGCCAGAGCAGAGCAGTTGCACTTGCGGCACTGGCCGGCCGGCCGGCAGGCGCTCACTGCACTAGTTTCGGTTTAGGTTTAGGTCAGTGCCTGACGAAGGAAGAAAATTTGCCTTTCCCGCTATTCTGATTTGGTTGTAGAGTGGGTTCAGCTACCGTTAACTATCTGGTGAGTGGGTGGAATGCCATTGACATGGCGCCCATAAAATGTATTATTAATAATAATAGTAACCTATAATGCTACTACTGTATATCAGATCTAGAACGATAGATTACAGCAGGCAGAGTGCAACATGCTCCGTGCAATTAATCGGAGCACAATTTGTAAATAATTTTTAAAAAAAGTGGGTAAAAGAAAAAGTTCGGAGCACAATTCATTCTGAAGAAAAAAGTCAGAATATACTTCAGAAATTGTGTGCAGACGAGGTAGTACTAGTATGCGAGCTGAGCCTACCGGGCTACGGTTCACACGCATCGTCACAGGCACAGCTCACTCCACTCACAAATGCATGCACGGCAGGTTAAAAAAGAAAAGAGAGCTCCTTAATGAAGGAAAATAATTATTTCCCCACAAATCTCGCCGCTGGCCTCTCTTTTATAAACCCATCGGAGAGAGAGGGAGAGCAGCATTTGCACCCGCCGAAGCCCATCGACATTCCCCTCCCTCTCCTCTCCTTCTCCGTCCCACGACCCCCCACCTCTCTCCGCTGATAAGCACAGCACTCCTCTGCCTTCCATTGGACGGCCGGCCCGCTCGCTCGGATTGCCCGGACGAGGATTCTTCAAGGTGGAGCAAATGGCGGTGGAGTGGTCCGACGGCGGCGAGGAGTTCCTTCTTCCTGACGAGTTCTTGGACGACGACTTCTTCTCCGAGGAGGAGAAGGCGGCGGTGGCCGCGCGGAGCGAGAGTGATGAGGAGGACAGCTTGGCTGGCCTCTCGCGCCGCCTCGCGGGCCTCCTCGGCGGTGACAAACTCGCCGTCACGCCTGCCAAGGTTGGTTTCTTGCTCCTTCAATCTTTCTGTTTGCGTGGTTTGTTATGCGTAGTACCTGCGCCGGTTCCTGACTCTTGGCTTCTTTGTTTGGCAGGAGGAGGTGACTGCAGGGTCGCCCAAGTCGACGCTGTGTGGGCTGCCGAAGTCGGGCCAGGAGAGCCCCAACAGCGGCGCGTCTCACGGGAACTCGCCGCCGTCGTCCCCGCTGGAGCAGCAGCCGGCCGACCCGTGGGACGTCCTCTACGAGGCAGCCGGGCAGGTCAACAGCATCCCGTCGCCGGGCAACCCCTACGGCCTACACGGCGGCGGTGGCTTTCTGCCGCCTGCGCGGAAGGCCTCGCCTCCTCCTCCGCCGCCTCACGTGCCCTTGCCAGCCGGCACGGCCGCGGGCGGCGTGTACTACCACCCGTTCGCGCACCTCATCACGCAGCGCCAGATACAGGCTGCCAGGGTGAGTTCTCAGTTGCATGGCGCTCTTGTTATGCGTCTCCTACCTGAAGATTTCTTGGTTTTAACATCTTTGTTTTGTGTTTGTGTTATGCAGTTTCATCTCCTCAAACAGCAGCAGCTCTTCAAGCAGCAGAGGGACCGGCAGCTGGCCGCGGCCGCCGCATGGGGCGTGCGCCGTAACGCGGCAGCCAAGAGGGCGGGCGCCGCTCCTATTGACCTGAGCCCGGCGTCGTTCCCGCCGCTGTTGAAGACGCAGCTGCAGCATACGCCTGCACCCCACCCTACCCATCCCGCCGCCGCTGGCATGCGGGCCGTCTTCCTGACGCCGCCCGGGGCCAAGCGCGAGCGCAATGGCACCGGCGTCTTCCTCCCGCGCCCGGCCGGCGCCCCCGCCGAGGCCAGGAAGAAGTCTGGTGCGTGTGCCCCTCGTAACACCTGTTTTGGCCGTTCTGGTTGTTGATTACCCGGGCTGGCGTTCGTCGTTGGTGGCTAAATATTCTTCCTGTTTGGTGTTTTTCGCGTCATTGCAGGCTGCTCGACGGTTCTTGTCCCCGCCCGTGTCGTGCATGCTCTGAATCTGAACCTCGACGACCTCGGCGCCCAGCCTCGCTACGCCGGCGGCATCGTTCTTGATCATGGTAAACATCTCATCCTGAACTAGCTTAATTGTGTTAATTAATGGCAAGTTAATCTGACAGCGAGCTCTGTTGTTGCGCAGATGCCTTGATCAGTCGGAGCAACGCCATGCTCGCAAGCCAGAAGATGCGAGCTGCGGAGGCCTCGGCGCCACCGGCGCTCTGCCACAGTTCGTGAACCCAGTCTCCCGCCGGAACATTCCGCGTTCTTGGCTCCGTTTAATCTCAAAAATAAAAATTAGTATCAGCAGTAATTTGTAGTAGGTTGTAGTGGTCATATCCTAGTAATAGAAGTAGAAGAGCAGTATTAGCAGCGTCAGTTTTAGCAGGTGTGTATTTTGGATTGGTGACACATTGGTTTTGGGGTGCCGGCGATAAGCGGTGGAGATGGATGAAGAAACAAGAAATCCATGTCTAGTAGTCGGTTTGTTAGAAACAATAAGTGGGGTGCTTCCGGAGACGAGAGAGATGTGTTAGCTGTTTGTAGCAAGCGAGATGATAGATGATAATGTTGGAAGTGAAATGTGGCTAATCTTGAAGGAGCAGAAATAAAAGGCCCATGTTATCTCTCCGTCTCCGTCCATGGCTTTGCCGCTTTGCCAAGGAGTCCCAGCGCACATCCAGCTAAGGAGTTTCCCCCTTTTGCAGCCTTTGGCTTGCGCTTGAAGCTTTGCCGTGGGCTCCATGAATGAATAAGGGCGTTCGTTGCTTGATGACGAAAAAGGAAGGATTTGTTGATTTTTGCTGTAATAGCTAGTTGCAGTAGTATTTCATTTCGTTCGTTGCTTTAGCGGCAACAGCCGCAAAGTTAGGCTCGGCTTTATAATAATAAATTTAATTATAGAATTGTACTTGTCCTCGGAATGAATGGAAGCGTATGGCGGTCTCATTTATTTGGTAATGATGCGTGTCATATCTTAATCAAGGTGTTTCTCCCCTTGTGTGCATCTGAGGGGCACTAGAGTTTATCTTAATCGGGGTGTCATGTGTGCGCTATGCTTCTGCGGCTGTGGCGTGGTACGTGACAGCATGTGAGAAGAACAGTTTTGTCCGGTGCGCGCGCCCAACCGCCTGAGAATCTGCATCTCCGCGCCACCGTCTGAAAACAACGCCTCTGGCCTCCTCTCCTAATCTTGGCTGGCTTGCTCGGACGGACGGTCGATCCAGCGTGGGCATAGCTGGAACGGGTGGCTCCGGCGCTGGCCCGAATCCCGATCCCAATCACACTGAGCTTTCCGTGCCATTAATGGCCCCTGGGACGTATCCGGAATTCCGGACCCTAAATTGCACCGTATAAATGAAAACCCCACCGCTTATCGCAATACCTCTGGGCCGCATGTAGCGCATCTCTCGGCCAGGTGAGAGCGGTGCTTTGGTCGCATGCGTCCTCGGCCCTGCCTGATCCGGTCAAAGCTCTGGCTTCTTTTTCGCTCCGACGCTTCGGGTGTGTACTGTGCGGTGCTGCGCCGCGGTTTTTAAATTCGAAGGCTGCCATCGGTCGGCTCGCACATCCATCGGTCGCCGGAAAAAAAGGCGTGTTTCCAAGAGAAAGCGGCCTCCTCGGGTTCCGCCGGCGGGAGCCCGAAAAGGAGCCATCGCCTCGGGCCCTGTTACCATGATCCTGTCGCTTTTTCCAGCAGGGTAAACCGCACGGTACCCAACCCGCGGTTATCTACTCGCCGCTGCCGTGACTCCGGCTTGACGATGGTGTGTTTTGGGGTGGTGGTAGGCACGACCGCGCGCAGGGCGGTGCGCCAACTTGTGTGGGTGGTGCGTGGGTGTGGCCTATGCTCGTATGCCGATTGCTGCCCAACAATACACAGGGAGAGTGGGGTTGCGAGGCCGAACGGCGACGTGGAGTTGGGGCTTCGTGATCGGTGGAAAGGTGGTTGCGCGCAACCAGCGGCCATGTGGGTCGTCACGTTGAGCCGTTGCGGTGGGGAGGGAGGAGGATGAGTCGGTGTTGAAGTGCGGCGAGGGCCACCGCCACCGGCGCATCTCGTATCTCCTCGGGCTCCTTCGCACGTTTGATGCACGGGACGGGAGATGCGTTGTGGGTGCACTGCAACTTACGTACTCAAAACTCCTCGGCTGCCACCGCTTTTAGGTTAGCTGTACAACGACTCTTGCTAAGTACCGCACCGGTGCTACTACACTGGTGGCACCAGAAGTCTTCCTGTATTTCCATTTTCAGTCCGGTTCACTTAGATTAATCGACTTCCTGTCGCCATTGAGCGATATTTTCTGTAAGATTGACTTTTAGCAGAGTTGTTGATAGATTTGCGACCGCCGAAGTCGACTTTTAGCAGAGTTGATAGATATGCAACGGCCGATGTCAACCTTATGAAAGTTTTTTTATTCTAGGAGCAACGCTCACATATTCCGGCAAAAAAAAAATCGCTCACATATCACAAGAATAGTTCAGAGTATTGGTCAGCTAATTATTGCGGCAGTACGAACGAGAAGCACCGATGTATCCACCACAGCTTATAGGAGTACTATGAAAACGTAAGAGCATTACTAGTAGAGCCCTCAAACCCCTAAAAATAACTGCTTTTTTACCGTTTTCGTTGAAAAAAAGCCGTAGACTAGAACCCCTTAATCCTTAAATTCTTAAATTTTTTAAAGGTCCAACCCTTAAATCCTCTCCCAATCCTCAAAAATAAGGGTTGGGGAGCAAAACCTACCCCAACCCTCATTTGGCGGTTATCCTCGCGCGGGAGGGAAAAATCCTCCCAACTCCCGCACCCACGCCCGCGACCGCCGCTGCTAGTCGCCCCCGTCGCCGGCGGCCACCCCGTCGACCTCCCGCGCGCAACGACAACGTCGTTCATGGGGAATATTCCGTTATAAGGGTTGGGTTTGATGGTTCTAATCTTTGCCCCTGTTTTTCAACCCGTAAAAGTGCACAAAAAAATCATTTTTGAACCCTTAAAACGCTAGTGAGGGTTTGAGGGTTTGAGGGTTCTACTAGTAATGCTCTAAGAACTCCAGAACATGTCAATCCTGAAGATATTTTCCCCCACAACCTACAAATCACATCAGAACCTTCCCTCTGCTCCCGGGGTAAAGTCAAGATTCAGTCCCCAGCACCAATTAACGGCCCTCAATACGACCACACTGACACTAGCCCAACTACTTCTACTTCCTCCGTTTCGGTTTACTCCCTCTGTCTAGGTGTGTAAGTCATCTTACGAAAATCAAATAACCCCAAAACACTTAGGCGCGGTGCATTAATTTTTACCTCATTTCTTGTTTCTTGACATATCAACCAATAAAAGGGGTGTGCATGCTTTTAATGACTTGAGACTACTAAGGCTGGTCATAGTGGGGAGTAACTTATACTAGTATCATGCATATGATACTAGTCTAAGTTACTATCTTCATAATGCAAAGAAACATAGTAGTAGTATCATAGATGGCTTCATTTATTAGTTCATAGACTCATTTTGCCTCGAAAAATGCTATGTTACAGTAACATATTATGTTATCACAAACACCTCTTTCCTCATTAAATACATGCCACATAAGCAAAATTATCTTGGGATGTGTTAAGTTTCTACCTAAGTTACCCCACTATGGCTAGCCTAAACACGACATGCAGTGGTTAGTTAATTGCATGCAATGCTATTAATTAGAAAATAAACATTAAGGTTTCTCGTTTTCACCTCCTCCTTGGTCATGTTGCACAACCTAAGATGACTTACTCACCTAGACGGAGCGAGTACAAGTCCTGCGCATATACCTAGTTGTCAATTTTATCACCCTAATATAAACTATATAACACAAAAAATATACTGTTTGAAAATAGAACATCTGAAGTTTATATTGGTGTATTTTTATAATATATGACTTGTATTAGATTGGTCAAATTGATGACTTAGGGGACGCCCTGTAAACTGAGAGAGAGGGAGTACTTAAAATGTCAACCACAACTTGCAGCAACCAACAATTTTACCCCTTCACCTATAAGGGCATCTCCAACGGTGAACCACAAATTTGCTCCTGCATCCGTCCGTAGAAATGGGGGCCATTGCGCGGATAATAATGCAGGAGACAGCCATCCAATGCCGTCCCGCATAAATTTCAGCCACTGTTTGAACTAACTGAACGAAATTTGTGCGGACTCGCTGGATTCCATATAAACCGGAATTACTCCAACTAAAAGCGGAGCTCGTCCAACTCTCGAGGTATAATTTCGGACATACTCCAACTAAAAGCGGAGCTCGTCCAACTCTCGAGGCATAATTTCGGACATACTTCAACTAATCACCTAGTCTAATGCTAGTCGCGGCGGATCCCCATTCCCACGACATGGCTACCCTCTGTGGCTTCCGCCTCCGCCATATTTTCCTTATGTCCGGTCATGCCGCTCCTCGGAGTGGCCATGCTTCAGCCGGAGGGGAAGAGTGCCCTGCTCCACTTTCGTGAAGCAGAGGTGGGGGTCGTCGATGGTCTGCGCTGAACCGGGCAAGACATCGACTATGTATGCACGCGACACGATGGCGATAGCCAACATGGGACCCAATCGGCGGTGGCCTCCCATGGCCTAATTTTCCTTGGTGTGAGCGGCAGCCACGAACGTGCTGGCCGCCTCCGCCGACAGGGTGCGATTTTTTTAACGTTTGCGGCGCATGGCACGACCTTAGGTGTGGGAAGAGTGTGATGACACAACAGCGGCCACAACATCCATGGTGTATGTGCCATCGTGCTCCCCCACGTGTCGACGTGGAACAACTGGCCACTCCTATGCGATCTGGCTTGGAGCGGTGAGTTGCTGCACCAGGGGCAAGCTTGGAGCGGCGGCATGCATCTCGTCTAGCCCACCTGCAGCCTCGCCCATGGTACTGACGCCCTAGGGTGGGAAGGGAGGTGGAGCAGCGAGTTTCCTTAGCTCGCAACAGGCAGGCTCGACGGGCCACCCAACCTTCTTTTATGCCGTAGTACCCCTCTTCCTGCTCGCCGGATGTCATGGAAAGTGTCCAAAATATGGTGCAAGGAGGAGACGGGGAGCGGAGGTGTGGTGCAGTTCTTGCCAGGCGTCTGGCCTCGTTTAAATAACGGGCAGACATGAGGAGCTAGCCGACATTGTGTTTAATACCGGTCGGCTGGCAAACGAACGTGTGGCTGAAGTAGATTTCTCGGCACACGAGCGGGTTCAATGGAGGTAGGTGGGGC